AAAAAAAAAACACACACACAAAAGAAAAGAAAAAAGGAAAAAAGCAGCTGCAGCAGAAAGGGAAACAAAGTGCTGCTGCCCCAGAGGCTTTGCCAGCAGAGGAGCGAGCAAGACATTAACGGACAGCTGTGCAGCGTCAGTCTGCAGGGTGACGTGGGAGATCGAAAAAACGTCAACACAATTCCAAGCACCAGGGGTAACAGGCAGTACGGAGTCTGAGAAATGGCTGCTGGGCTATCACTTTGGAACAATGTGGCAGTGCCTGGCAAAGGTGGAGATATTAAATGTGTACGTTCAGGCCCAAGAATGCCAGCCTAGGCACCGCAAAATTTCCATGTGAACAGCAGAAAATAGGGGCAAGAATGTTCAAAGCAGTATTGCTTAGAAATAGAAAAAAACTGGGCTCGGGACCTGTATCACAGTGTTTACAACGCCAGCCACATACGCCAGGGCCGGCAGATTTGAAACTGGCCCGGGACAGCTAAACAACAACAACTAAAACAAAATAAAATAGCCAGGCGTTGTGGTCAGCGCCTGTAATCCCAGCTACGTGGAAGGCTGAGGCAAGAGAATCGCTTAAGCCCAAGCAGGGGTCTTCAAACTACGGCCTGCGGGCCACATGTAGTCTGCCAAGGACATTTATCCAGCCCGCCAGGTGTTTTTGCCACCGCTGCCTGTCCTGCTTAGCAGCCGATTCATCCTGGGCCCAAGGTCGGGCCCTCCAATGGTCTGAGGGACAGTGAACTGGCCCCGTTTAAAAAGTTTGAGGACCCCTGCCCAAGAGTTTGAGGTTGCTATTAGCTGTGATGCCATGGCACTCTACCAAGGGTGGCATAGTGAGTCTCTGTCTCAAAAAAAAAAAGGAATAGAAAAAACCATGTTCAATGTCTGCAGAACAGATAAATCAGCTGTGTTACAGATGTACCCTGTGAGGACTAATGTGCAACCACAGGTAAATTCCAACAGTGAACAAAAAAGTCATGAAGGACACAGGACATCATTTATATAAACATCAAAACCAGGTAAAACCAGATAGGACTTGAGGGAATGTGCACTCGTGGCAGACTGTAAAGAGAAAGAAGGGCACAAAAGGACGGGCTTCAGGTTAGTGACAGCCCCTGAGGGTGAGAGAGAGGAAGGAGCCCCAGGTCGGCCCACAGGAGGCGTCCAGCACAGCTGGTGATGCTGCATCTGTGAGCAGACCAGCAGGGCCCAGTGTCCATTCTATTCTCTAAACCATGGAGGCATTAAGCATATTCCTTTTGTGCACTGATTTAATGGTGAGTGAAAACACAAGTGTCTTAATCAACTCTGTTTCCTACTCTTATTAGAAAACAATTTCTGACTGGGCGCAGTGGGTCACACCTCTAATCTCAGCACTTTGGGAGGCCAAGAGGAGAGGATCACTGGAACCCAGGAGCTCAAGACCAGTCTGAGCAAGCGTAAGATATTATTTCTACAAAAAAATTTAAGAATTAGCCAAGTGTGTTGGTGCACACCTGTAGTCTCAGCTGCTCAGGAGGCTGAGGCAGGAGGATCCCTTGAGCGCAGGATTAAAGGTTATGGTGAGCCATGATGATGCCACTGCACTCTAGCCAAAGTGACAAGAGTGAGACCCTGTCTCAAAACAAACAAAATTTTCCACATTAAAGCAAACAGCTACACAATATTCAGTTAATTATGTAGCTAGGAATTCTTAAAATTAACTAACAATAGCATTTATCAATTTGTGGGCCAAAGTAAATGTCTAGCCTGAGGCCGGCCTGACCAGACCACAACCCCTGGGCCCTCTTGTGCCCACAACTAGTAAGTAAATCAACAGAATAGTAGTAAATACTAAAATTAGTAACACAAAAGGTTCCATACCACAATGATGGCAATCCTTCCTCCAACGTCGCCAACAACTGTGATTGGGGGCTTTTCTTTAGGAATCAGCACTAGTCAGAATAAAACAAACACACCAAAGTTGTTTTAGTAAAAAGTAAAACAAAGTCTTTAAGAAGTTAATGTCTCATGACCTCATTATAAAAACACCAAACAGAATAGGAACAGAAGGGAGTTTCCTCAATCTGATAAAGGGCAACTATGAAAACCCACAGCTACCACCACTTCATGATGCAAGACTGAAAGCTTTCCCTAAGATCAGGAAAGAGGCCGGGGCGCCTGCTCTGCACCACTGCACTGGATGTGCTAACTAGGCAAGAAAAAGGAAGAAAAGGCATCCACATCAGAAAGGAAGAACTAAAACACTCTTACAGGCGGTGCCTGTGGCTCAGTGGGTAGGGCGCTGGCCCCATATACTGAGGGTGGCAGGTTCAAACTGGGCCAAGGGCAGCTAAAACAGTAACGACAACTGGGGCAAAAAAGGAGCCAGGTGTTGTGGCAGGCACCTGTAGTCCCAGCTACTCGGGAGGGTGAGGCAAGAGACTCGCTTAAGCCCAAGAGTTTGAGGTTGCTGTGAGCTATGATGCCACAGCACTCAACCAAGGGTGACAAAGTGAGACTCTGTCTCAATAAAAATAAATAAATAAATAAAACACTCTTAGCACATAACATGATCCTACATATAAAAAACCCCAAAGAATCCATAAAAAACTGAGCTAAGACACCCATTCAGCCAAGCAGCAAAGCACAAGACCAGCAGACCCACATCACTTGTGCTTCTACCACCAATAATGAATAACCTGATGAAAAAGGAAGGAAGTAGTTCTATTTACAAAAAGATCCAAAGAAAAAAATACCTAGGAATGAATTTAACTGAGAGGAAAAACTATAAAATATTGTTGAAAAAGTTAAGAATAGATTCTTTTTTTTTCTGTGTCTTAGAGATGGAATCTCATTCTGTCACCCAGGCTTAGTGCAGTGGTGCAATCATAGCTCACTGCAGCCTCAAACTCCTGGACTCAAGAGAACCTTCTGCCTCAGCCTCCTAAGTAGCTGAGACTATATATGTGCACCTTCATGTCTAGTTAATCCCCCCCCCCAAGAGATGGGGGTCTCACTATATTGTCCAGGCTGCTCTGACCTCCTGACCTCAGCCTCCAAAGTAACTGTGCCTGGCCACGATCCCTGAGTAATATACCTAAAGATAAGCAACACATAAAAATCAGACTTCATCAAAATGAAACTTCTGTGTGTCAAAAGACACTATCAAAAAAGTGAAAAGATGACCTATAGAAAGAGAAAACATTTGCACATCACTTATCTGTTTAAGAGTCTAGTATCCTAAATACGTAACACAATAAAAAAGACAGAAAAGTCAATTTAAAAATGGGAAAAGGGCTTGGTGCCCACAGCTCAGTGGTTAGGGCACCAGCTACATATACCAGGGCTGGCAGGTTTGAACGCGGCCTGTGGCCTGCTAAACGACAAGGACAACTACAACAAAAAAATAGCCAGGCATTGTGGCAGGCACCCATAGTCCCAGCCACTTGGGAGGCTGAGGCTTGAGAATTGCTTAAGCCCAAGAGTTTGAGGTTGCTGTGAGGTATAATGCCACAGCACTCTACAGAGGGTACCAAAATGAGTACCAATAAATAAATAAATAAATAAAATGGAGAAAGGAGGAGGCAGGGGAGAAAGAGATTAAGGAAAAAAAAGAAAGATTTTTAAAATGGGTAAAAAAATTAAATAGACATTTCTCCAGAGAAGATATATTTACAGTCAAGAAGGCCAGCCCAGTGGCTCACACCTGTAATCCTACATTTGAGAAGCTAAAGAGGAAGGATTACTTGAGGCCTAGAGTTCAAGACCAGTCTGAGCAAGAACGAGAACCCTTTCTCTACCAAAAATAGAAAAATTAGCCAGGCATGGTGGCACATGCCTGTCCTTGGGAGGCTAAGGCAGAAGGATTCCTTGAGCCGGTGGAGTCACGATGCTACTGCACTCTAGCCCAGGCAACAGAGCAAAACAAGGCCAGCAAGCATATGAAAAGATACTTAACATAATTAATCATTAGGAAAATGCAAATTAAAGCCACAATGAGATGCCATTGCATTTCCACTAGGATGGCTATAATAAAAAAAAAATCAGAAAACACGCACTGGTGATATGGAGAAATTGAAACCTCTATGCTTTGCTGGTAGGAATGAAAAACAGTGCAGTTGGTATGGAAAAGAGGCTGGTGGCTCCTCAGAAAGTCACCATGGGATTACCCACAACTGAGCAATCCTGGTCCTAGGTATGCACATCAAGAGAAATGAAACATGTCCCCACAGAGGTCTGTACCTGGATGCCACAGCAGCAGTACAGCCGCAAGGTGGAAACGACCCACTCCTACCACAGAGGGTGCTGGGCCCACCCAGCAGAACACTCCTTAACCATCACCAGGAATTCAGCCGACATGGGAAACTCTAAGAACATGCTCAATCAAAGAAGCCAGACGCAAAAGCCCACACGGCGTATGATTCTGTTTCTATGAAATGTCCAGAAGAGGTAAATTCATAGAGCGAAAGAAAGGCAGCTTAGTGGGTGCAGGGTTTGGGGAGCGGCTGGGGAGGGACTGCTTACTAGGCACAGGGTGCTCTTCTGGGATAAGGAGGATTTTGAAACTAGAAAGAAACAGTAGTTGTACACTGGAATATATTAAATGCCAGCAAATTTTACACATTAAAATGGTTAATCCTGTTATGTGACTTTGACTTCAATTTTAAAAAATAAGGTCAGTGTCACTGAAGAGATAAGCAGACGACTCTCAGTCAGGGCTTCTC